GTCCAACATTTGGGGGCTCATCCTGGATTCAGTTGCCCCCAGACCCATTTCCTCAGATCAGCAGGAGGTAAGGACAGATGTCTTGTGGTTTGTCTTGGTTTTAATGTCTGTCAGTCATTTCCTGTTCTGGGGACGTTCCATCTGAATAATTGTGCCTGTACAGGACCCGTAAGTCTGTATTCTGGGAACCAGTCAGAGTGGCAGATGTGCCCTGAGACCCCTGGTTCCACCACTCTGGCCCCAGTGACCAGAGTGATCTGGAGTGGGGAGGACAGTGTAGCTTTCCTCACCCCGGGAGAAAAAGGGAGATTGGCTTAGCTATTCCCCTCCCGGTCTGTACTTTCAGTTTTGAGTCAGAAAGCGTGCCGAAGATATTTTGTTGTTATCTGTGTCTGTACTTGGGGATCCTGAAAGTAAGAATGGTGAGTGTTGTGTGTGTCTGGGTGTAAGAAGGACCGGTCCACTTGAATGTGATATAGCACGATGTGTGTGCGTACTTGATGGTGTATTAGTATCTTAAAAGGGGAAGGTCTGGTTTTGTATTTTTCTCCACACTCTCTATTTTAAGCCTTCTCTGTCTTCTTTTCTCCTTTATTCTTGGTCCAAGTCTTCACGAGGGACTGTTAAAGGCAAAGGAGCAATTGAGGTTTTCTGGTCAGGGCGGGTGGAGACAGGACCCCTCTGTCTGTAGCTTCTTTTTCTCCTTCTCTCTCGCCATTAAGAAAGCCCCGTGGGCATGGGTCGAGCAAATAAAAGCCATAGGGCGCTCGCCGCTAAAAGACTCCCGTGGAAGGATAAGGGGGTCCCAGACGTGAATCCCAGATAAATTCACGTCCCCCGCAGAAGAAAAACTGGGCACTGATAGGTACTCGTCTACAAGCACACTCACTAGTCATCACTATTATTTAGAGTGGCATCTTCATTTTTTTCTCTCTTAGTCCTCTGCCTCCTAAAAAAAAATATATATATATGATAGATGTTTGTATAAATATTGTATTTGTATAATATATACTATGATTTCTGAATACCTAGGCTACTTGAATATGCTAACAGCTAACTCTGGAGAGAAATTGTGCCCCTTTCACTTCAGACTTAATCCATAGATAGATAGATAGATAGATAGATTATAGACAAATGATTGATGGATGATAGATAGATATAGATGATAGATAAATGACTGAAGTGTGAGAAGCTGACTCAGGGCAGAAACTGGTCCTTTCTGTTCAGACTCATGCTAGTTCTCACAAACTTCTGTTCTCAAGAATTCTCCAGGTTCAGACTGACCTTCTGACTCTGTGAGAGGAACTGAGAGCAGCTTACATGTTTTAGTGCCTTGGCATACAAGATTTTCTTTGGTTAAAAGGGCTTCCACCTCAAGGGTCGGTCTCCTTGGGTTCCTGACAGGGGGATCTAATCTAAATTGATCATATGATAAACCTGTAAAAACAGGCACACTGTAATTAATCAAAATAACAGTTGGAGAGCTGCTCAGGACGCTGACCAGGGCTGTCTTCAGTGATGCTTTGGACGTAAATCAGGCGTGCCCATGCACTGTCAACACTGTGCCTTTTGCAGATCTGCGTTTCGTCTCATTCCCAACATGTTTTGTTTCAATTCGGTTTAATGGTACCATTTAACAAATTTCTCTCAGTCTGAGCCTAACATGGCTCTGTGTAAATAATGTGTAAAAAGTGACAGTTTTAAAATTTATCTTTCTGTACTCTTTCTCAACAACACAGTGCTTTGTGGTAAAAATAACTTGTAAAGAATACTCTAAACTAGTGGCTTGTGGCAGGAGCTGCTTATGATGAGTCTTAGAACAGCAGGTAGTTCGTGACAGAAGCTACAACTCTATTTTGCTCTTTTCCAGGTTCCATGAGTTTACAATAGATGTCAAAAATAAAACATTAACACACTACAAAACTTACAAAATTAGGTTACTGATATTAGTTATAAATTATTTTTGCCTTGTCTCACTTTAAATGGTATGTTTGTGTCTCCATGGTTAAAACTTAGGTGTATGTCCTCCCTCTCTTGTCGTTTTGTTTCTTGTATGTTACCTTGGACACCTGCTTGGTACATACGTATCTCTTTTGCTCCACAGGGTCAAGGCACTATAAATTATGCTCCTGGCAGTCTCCAGTCACTGCTACCAAACTAACTGTCCTTGTGCCCTCTTTGTTTTTACCTTTAGGTAACTCTACAGCTGATAAATTGTGACATCCTCCCTTATCCTCATTTGGGGAGAGGGCATGTTTATGTTTTTTTCCACAGAATGCTGACAATGCATGTTGAGTACCTAAATGCCTCATCTGCTTTACAACATCTCCAGACTCTATGCCACCTGTGTCATCACTACACCATCCATCATCACATCCTGTGTTCCCAATTTTTGGACTGGGTTTTTGGACTCTGTTCGTGTTTCCTATGGACTGTCTCCACTGCCTGGCACCCACCATTCTCCACTTTCAACTTTGCCTGTGATACTATGATTCTCTCCATGATTCATTAATTGTTCCACATACCTTATACACCGTTGTTTTAATCATTTATGTAATGCCCTTCCATGCTGTACACTGTTTGTCCCCTTAGGGTCCTTTTGTTTGCTTGGAGGGGGACTTAGGCACTGCCTAACCTCAACACAGAACACAGGTTGGGGTAAAATTTACCAGCTTCATAAAAAGTCAGATTGATGATCTTACAGCAAAGCCAATTCAAATACATTATCTCAGGCTTGCACTTAAAGATCGGGAAGAGCCCTATGAGCCTAAAAGGCCACATGACAATGTGCTTCAGTCGTCCCCTTGAGAGCTGAACCGGATAGCCAAAGACGGGTAAGAGGAGATCTCACTGATAGCGACCTAAGGCAGGCTGGCAGCCAAAGCAGCTGTTTGTTTGCCCATGACGGGTAAGCATCAGAAGAGGATCTCCCAACCTAAGGCAGGCACGGTTCCCTAAGGGATTGTTTTGGCTCATTTTCCCTCTTTATTAAAATAAAAAAAAATCTATAAAAAACCGTAGGCCCCCACCCCAAGAAATAGCAAGACCTGATTCCTGGCAAAGCTGTTCTTCAGACATCAAGGCTGATCTGGTTTGAGATTAACCAGATGGCCATTCTTGAAAGCCTCACAAAAACATGTTCTTCTAACTTGGGCACTTACTGCTTAAGAGACTCCCTCATTTCTCATAGAACTGCCTAAAAAAAAAAAACTTTTTATATTACTTTGTAATCATACAGGTGTAACCTTATAATTGATTTGTGGCCTTACTATAGAATTGTGATATTACTATGGTGTTCTGTTAATAGAATTGCTCTGCCTCAATAGATTTATCCCTTGCCAGCTTTAATCTCACAGCACCTCCCTCTCAGAAGTAATATTACAGAATAGAAGGGGGCTAGATCTGCTTTTCCTCAAGAAAAAAGAACTCTGTGCAACCCTAAAAAAAAAGTATTATTTCTATGCTGACAGCTTAGGGGTTATTAGAAATCCTATAACTAAACTCCGCCAGAAATTAGATAAAAGACAAAAAATAATAATAATAAATCCAAACAGGGATAATATTTTTTAAAAATTTTCCTCTGACATCCACACATGCATACACATGAACCAGTAATAAATAATTTTTATATTATAGTATTTTTATTGTTTTATGTGTATGAGCGTATTGCCTGCATGTATGTAAGTGCACCCATGTCATGCAATGTCCATCGAGGTCAGAAGAGGCTGTTGGCCCCTGGGACTGGAGTTACGGACAGTTGTTAGCTGTCGTGTGGGTTCTGGGATTCAAACCCGGGTCCCGCTTTCTCTCTAGTTTGTGGTCTTTGTCTTTAAAAGAAGCCTGTGAACTGGGCTCTGGGCTTCTGCCCTCCGAGTGAGGCAGGGGTCCGTTTTGCAAAACGTAATAAATCCTCATGCTTGTTGCATCTTCTGGTCTGAGGACTGAGTTATTGGGGAGCGGCCTCCTATGGACGTTGGGTACCCCAAACTGGGGTTCCAACAAAGTCAAATACTTCCCTGGATCTTTTACTCTTTAGAATGTTGAAGGCTGCCAGGCATGCTGGCTTATGGCTGGAATTCCAGCACTTAGGAGGTGAAGACAAGAAGATTAGGAGTTCAAGGTCATCCTCAGCTAAGTATGAAGAATGGGGCTAGCCTAGACTCCAAGAGACTCCAAACAAACAAACAAACAAACAGACAAACAAACAAACAAACAAACAGTGGCCGTGGTGGTATAGGTCTGTAACCCCAACTACTTGGAGGGTTGAGACAGGAAGATTGCAAGTTCAAGGCCAGCCTCAGGTATGAAGTGAGTCCAAGGGTAGCTTAGGCAACCTAGTGAGACCCTGTCTCAAAACAAACAATGAAATGGGAGCTGGGAATAACGTTTAGTGGTAGAGTACTTGCACACAATGTAAAAAGCCATATATTCAATTTCCACTTCTACCGAAAAGAAGGGAGGGAGGAAGGGAGGGAAGGAGGGAGGGAGGGAGGGAGAAAGGAGGAAGGAAGGAAGGAAGGAAGGAAGGAAGGAAGGAAGGAAGGAAGGAAGGAAGGAAGGAAGGAAGGAAGGAAGACATATTGGCTGGGGGGAGAGAAGGCTGCTTTAGGTCCTCATATGAAAAGAAAGGAAGGAAGGAAGGAAGGAGGAAGAAAGGAAGGAGGAAGGAAGGAAGGAATGAAGGAGGAGGGAAGGAGGGAGGGAGGGAGTGAGGGGAAGGAAGGGGGAAGGAAGGAAGGAAGGAAGGAAGGAAGGAGGAAGGAAGGAGGAAGGAGGGGGGAGGGAGGGAGGAAGAAAGAAGGAAGGAAGGAAGGAAGGAGGAGGAGGAAGGAGGGAGGGAGGGAAAGAGAAGGGCAAGGGAACAGGAGGGCAAGAAGCCAGATGTGGTAGTGTGTACCCTTAACTCCAGCTTGGAAGCCTGAGGTAGGAGGAGTTTGAGGCCAGTCAGCCACACATAGTAAAACCCTGCCTCATAACAAAGCAACACAAACACACACCCAGGGTGGTTAAAAAATAAACAGCGTCAAGTCAGCACATCTTTAATCCCAGCACTCAGGAGGCAGAGGCAGGTGGATCTCTGTGAGTTCACGGCCAGCCTGGTCTACATGGTGAGTTCCAGGTCAGCTAGGACACAGGGAGACCCCAAAAAGTCTAAAAAAAAGACTAAATAAATAAATAGGGTGTAAAGTTCATGGCCAAGTCTCCAGGGTCAATCCCCAGCACAAAAATTAATAATTAGAAATCTTAAAAAATAACCTTTTGGGCTGGAGAGATGGCTCAGCAATTAAAAACACTGGCTGGTCTTGCAGAAGACCCGGGTTCAAATCCAAGCACCCACATGGCAGCTAACAACTGTCCATAACTCCAGTCCCAGGGGATCCGACAGCCTCTTCTGACCTCCACGGGCATTGCACATGGGTGCACTTACCTATATGCAGGCAATACACGCATACACATAAACAATAAATAAAATTTAAAAAAAAACCTTTTATGGAAATTAAAAAGAAAAAAGCAACATTAGAATTGAAATTAATATTAAATCACTCTTGGTTCTGCACATTCTTCATTAGCTTTGCTTTTATTTTTATTTTTATTTTTTTAATCAAAGTTTCACACATCTCTTCAGAGGCTTCATTAAATACATAAACTTCAAATGTAACATGCTATTATTGTTAATAGTATAATACATCTGAAAAACCATAATAACCTCAAGCAACATGAGCAAGTTAACATTTGCTGTGTTCATGCCCTAAGCTAATAATACTCCAAACCTCTTCTTTGCACCCAATGAGGCAAGCCCTTTTATTTGCATCTTGTATATGAGGCAACTGGAACTTGGGAAAAATGAAGTCTCGTGCTAAAGGCCATGTAACTGGTAAGTACTAGAACTGACATTCAAGTTTGGGTCAAACTCTAGGAACCACACCCAAGTCACTATATTACATTTAAAAAAATGCAAAGCTGGGGCTGGAGAGATGGCTCAGGGGTTAAGAGCACTGACTGCTCTTGCAGAGGACCCGGGTTTGATTCCCAGCATCCACACGGCGGCTATGAATCGTCCTTAACTTCAGTTCCAGGGGAATCCAAAGCCCTCTTCTGACTGCTGAGGCATTGCACGACACGGGTGTACTCATATACATGCAGGGAATACACTCATATACATAAAAAATTAACAAATTAAAAAATAATAAAATATTTTAAAAAATAGCTGGGTGTGGTGGTGC